GTTTTAGGGTTCTTTAATAATTGAACGAAGATAAAATCAGTTAAATTTAATTAATTAAATCAAGGATGGTGAATTATAATTTTTCTATTTCAAATTCTTAACTCTAAAAGTTTTAAAAATCTATAAGTTACTTCAAGAAATAATGAGTTTAGTTTACTTAGCTTGCATTATCAAAGATTGTGTGCAAGAGATTCAGAGAAAAGATGGTAAAAAGATGAAATGGAGAAAAATGGTTCGAAGAAATTAAAGAAGAAAGGGATTAGGGATAGAAAATGATTTAGTATAATAGTTGTTAACATTATCATGATATTGGTTATGGAAATTTGGTCACTGATATATGTATATATGTGGACATGGTAAATTCAATTGGAAAGAAAAGATTTAGCAATTAAGGCTTAAACTTAAATTATTTTGATTTAGTTACATGATAAGATGAGAAGTAAAATGTTATAATTCATAGTGTCAAGGGATATGTTGGAAAGTTAGTAAAAAAAAACTATGGACTGGATAAGAAACACACTTGTGTGTTAAATGAAATGAAAAATGGATCAAACATGAAATGGAAAATAATATTGTATTGTAAGGGCTAGTTAATTTTTGTATGTACTAATTTTATTTTAGAAATTATGGAATTTCTTTTATAACAACAATGAAAATTTCATTTATATTATTATTATTACTATTACTGCTGCTGCTGCTACTACTACTATTTATTGATAGTAAACTAGTGTCATTATTAGTATTATTACAAGTGGTGTTTTATTAATTAAATTATAGGTTTGGTAATTGGGAAATAATATGGTAAATTATGATTAATGTAGAGATTATTTTATTAATGCAGATATTAATCAAGAAAGTCGCGAAAAAGATAAATATTGATTTTTTCAACTACAATACATAATACATTAGCATGTGAAATTATGTGTTTATGTGTATTTGTTTTCTTAATGTGACATGGTAGTGTGACACTTATGCATTAAATTTATTTGGAAAACGTATGGATAATACGTTTCTAAGGCCATGCATACTCTTGTTGTCATTCTCATTTAGTTTGTGGTTGAAAATTTTAAATGTGAATCTCATTATAGATGTTATGTTCGAATAAATATACTACTTTGAGACTCCTGATGGTCATTAAGGATAGCCAATGATGGGGTATTTGAAGTTCAGCACCTGTATATAGGTAGTGTCAAGAGGTACCTTGGTGGTCTTGGGACTGTGGATAGACACGTGGAGTACGATATACTTAGGGCGG